CCTGGTTAGAGAGGAGGACGCCTGGCCCTTGGGTAAAACAGCAGCTTTTGCGGATCTCGTGTCACTGTGCACCTCCGCCCGCACATCACCGTCTGCAATCCACAAGCTTATCACGCTTTTACAAGCTGCCAAACATGCCTGTTGTGTTGTGTTTGTTTAGAGGACTCTGGCTCCTCCTCCTGGTCCATCGCTCCCGCATACGAGCTCGCTGTTGCATCGCAACGGTCTCTGTAGCAGTTTCGTCTCCTAAATCCTGAAGCTGGCACCTGACACTCGGATTCGGCAGACTAATAGGTAAGCCGTCTCTTCATTAGGCTGCAAAGTGAAGCTAATCAGCATCTACCCAGACTCCTTCTCCTTTCATCCCGCTCTCCACCGCGTTCCCTCTCCCGCTGTCTATCCGCACGGCATATTTAACGTCAACTAAATGCTTGCTGAACTACAACCCAAGGAGGTGGGCGAAGAAGCATGTGAAAAAGGAAGGGAGAAAACAGCGAATGTCACCTTCCTCGGAGGCCCGGTTAATCCGACACGGCGCACAAATTAAATGGCAGATTGTATTCGTTAAGGAACAAAAAGGGGCTCCTGTCTCTTTGATGTGGGCCAGGCGGTGCTGGACGCTGGAATCCACAGCCAGGCTTGGTGTCAGATTGGGATCAAACGTGGCCACACTTACATCTAAATAGAAATCTGGGATGGAAAAAGTTCCAGGGAAGGTGACCACACATGAAGAGAAACAAAAGGAAACGGAGAAAAAAAACAGAGCTGAGAGCCAGAAGTTTGGCTTCACATGCCTGTACGCTCTCTCTCTCTCTCTCTCTCTCTCTCTCTCTCTCTCTCTCTCTCTCTCTCTCTCTCTCTCTCTCTCTCTCTCTCTCTCTCTCTCTCTCTCTCTCTCTCTCTCTCTCTCTCTCTCTCTCTCTCTCTCTCTCTCTCTCTCTCTCTCTCTCTCTCTCTCTCTCTCTCTCTCTCATTTGATGCAAACAGATTGTCACTGACCTTGTCAAAGAGTTTAAACACTAATTTTAATGTAAAAAATAATACAATTATTCATAGAAAATATATTATATAATACATTAATATAATATAATATAATATAATATAATATAATATAATATAATATAATATAATATAATATAATATAATATAATATAATATAATATAATATAATATAATACTTTTAGGAGTCTTAATAAAATAAAAAATAAAAATAAAATAAAAATAAAATAAAATAAAATAAAATGTTTGTTTTATGTTTCTAGCATCTACCAGTTGATCCCTAGATTCAATCAATGTAAAACTACTTGTTTGTCTGGCCAATGGCACCTGGAGGAAATGTTTGGGAAGCCTGTTTGGAAAAAGTGATTATTTGTACAATTTTATCTGGAACCAATAGTGCAGTAATCCTCACAACATCTGCTGACTTCTGGCTGGTGTGTTTTTATTTTTTATTTAAAAAGACTCAAAATAATCAAATCAAACAAAGGGTAGGAAAAGTTAGCTCAACGCAAATCACATCAAAACCCATTCTAGAGATCCTCACGGAAAACTAGCTTTTTCAGTGCTACAAAGACAGAGGGTTAAGTTAGGAAAGTGTAAGTAGTAAAAGAGCCCACTGGGAGTAAAGTATGTTCTGTAGGGTTTGTGGCTGGAGGCTTAATTAGGTAATAACAATAGGACTATCTTTAGAGATACTGAAGTGCACTAAGAGGCAACATAAAAGGATAACCGCATGATTAGTCTTCACAGATGAAAAAACATATCCGTTTGCTCCAGGGGTTGACCAACTCCAGCACCGAGCACAGCGGGAATATCAATCTGGGGCAATTAACGTGACCCGCAACTGGCAGGAGGTCAACTGCAAAAAACAGTGTCCCTTTTGAACACAACCCTAAACAATGATTGTGTGGCAGGGCACAGCCACAATTCACCGGAGGGGTTAATTGCTGATCGCTGGGCGAGTTGGATTCTGGGTAGCATGCAGGAGAAGACTGGACCAGGAGTAATGAGCTCTGGCATGAGGAGACGCCGGTAACGTTGGGGAACACGGGGAGAACGGCTCTCTATGGGTGTGAGGAAGCTGGAAATCAGAGTCACTGACTGTCAAAGGCAAACCGGACACTTCAGAACTACATGTCGGGTAGGAAATCCAAATGTTCGCCTATCATCCATCAACCTCAAATCTGGCTTATCATTTGAAACATGTAAGGCCGCTCGCTCTAACGTTAACCTAGATAAATGTCTGCTATTATTATTAGGCACATATCTAATCCAAGTGTTTGTGTGGAAGCTAAAGTATTAGAGCGCTTACTGCGCAACATGGAGTTCGCCGGCGCGATCACTAATAACAGTGGAAACTTATAATACAGATAAGAGTAATACATCATTATAAACTGTAAAGTACTTTTATCCTAGTTAACTCACAACAACAACAAGAGTGTGCCTTTGTAAAATAAAGAAAACAAACAGAATGCACTTTCTGCCGTCTCGGTCTCCGTGAACTGGAACGCGTCACATCAATGAACCGAAACTCAGCGTACCTCACAGACATGAGAAATATATCTAAAGAAAGCTTGAATTGTCTACTTTTAAATGAACCAATTCAAATAGAACACACATTCTCTCTGATTACGGAATATGAGTCAGTATTGTCAACTTCACTAACACTAGTGTTTTAATAAATAATCAAAATGTCTTTGCAGCAAGCCATGTGTGCGCGGAATAGGCTATATTATGCCTATATATTAAAGGTTCATTATGGTTTAGTATTCCCCGCAGTATATATTGAACTATTTTAATTCATATAAACGAGCAATTAGTCGATTAATGGCTCAAATGAATGACTATAGGTCGGCTAGAGAAATCAGGGCAGCCCTAAATGTTTTATAACAATGCTGGACGTCAGAAAAAAACTGTTTAAAATACAATCAACTGTCCTAACATGAATGCATAGGTGTAAATATGGAGAGGAATATAGATCCGGGTTAATATTGTTAACTAAAACTAAACCTAATCCGTTAATTGAAATAAAGCAGAAATAAAAAATATATAAATATTAGTTGAAAAACTTAAGCTAAATGAAATCTAGAAATGTTACCTTGGCAATTAACTGAAATAAGTTGAAGCATTAAAATTATTAACTGGAAATACATAAACTAATGAAAAACTGAAATAAAAATAAATTAATTCTAAATAGACAAACACACACAACAAAACTACCAAAAAATGTAACTAAAATTAACATGAAAACTAAAAATATAATATTGTTCAAAAGCTAATATAAAAATATTAATAAAAACGAATATAAATTAGATATAGTATTAATATATATATATATATATATATATATATATATATATATATATATATATATATATATATACACACACACAGAAATTAATATACAATGGTTTCTATGGCTCAAAATGAACAAAAATGATATATTATAGTAAGTTCTTCTCCAAAAGAAAAGCTGGCATCCAGACCCTCTACATTATTGCTCAATGATTCATCGTTAAGGGAAAATTATGTTCATACTTGAGTGTAAAATAATCTGAAATTGAAGGTTTGCCCAACGTAGATCAACTCTACTGGAGAGTCACATTTGACCTTTAAAAAAATAGAATAAAAAGTATATATTTTTTAAATGCTCATTTTGTCAAAAGTCTCATAAAATAAACTCAAAACTGTGAAGGAAAAAAAAGTTCAATTTAACTTTATCCCACTCTACGAAGTTGTGGTAATGTAGTCACTAAGTGGGAGGCTGGAAGAAGATTGTAGAAATTGTAGGTCTTTCTTTTCTCAATTAATGCAAACGGCTAATAAAAGTTGGCCAAAGGTGGCATATAATGTGAACACATTATCTAATATGTGGAGGTGGGAAGAATTAAAAAATGATGAATCACTAATGTTTCACTATATTATGTGCTTGAGTTCAGATATCAACATCTCTTTTTGTTCTTTTCTCAGATTTTTGTTCGCGCAATAAGACAGTAGATCAATGTTTACTTCACTAAATAGGCATTTATGATCAAATATGCAACAAAAACCAAGAAGAGCAGGAAAGAAACCATTAGCTCTCCAGTTTCTGAAAGCACCTCCCAAGCCAAACCCCTCATTACATAGTCTCCGTCTCAGTTATCACTCTCGTCTCCGAGACCTGAATCAGGTCTGTGTGAGCTTTGGCTCCAGACGGGGTTCTTCACGTTCCCCTCCCTGGCTGAGCCGGCTTTCATAATACGATAGATGACTCACACGCCAAGTCATGGTAACTCAAAAAATATTGTGACGGACTTCAGATCCCTTCTGAGTCCCATTAAGCCCTAGCAGTCCCAAAAAATGTTCTGATTCAACATTTCCTGAGGGCTAGAGCGAGGCCTCCACCTCCACCCCGAAGCTTTCACACACTCTCGACACGCCTAGCCTAATGACTTAACCACCGAGTGGACCACGCCTGGCCTTCTCTCCTGCCAACCCTTTCCAGAACCATCCAGGGAGGAAAACCCATTCCCGTTCCCCTTGCTTTTCTTTTTGTGGGCCAGTTACATCAGACAGTGATGCCTTTTGGATTGGAGATGCACAGGAAGGAACGATTCCCAGCAGGGGCCTCTTGTTACTCAGAGCTCAGCGTTAAAACACAGGCAAACAAGCGGAAATTATGTCAGAAAGTTGCGGGAGAGCCACTCCTTCCTCTCGCTGTCAGTCGACGTGAAGATCAAAGAAGAACGGGGAGCTTTAACGCACACATAAACATACAGAGCTGTTGAATACACACACCATCGCACGACCTTGGGTTTGCATTTAACATTTAACCGCAGCCCAATTCTGCTGGAAATGTCAGACAGTGAATACATTACATAAAAAAGCCTTTGTAGAACTCTTGCTTTCACTAGCTGTGCATCTTTAAGCAGTCTCCGCCTGTCTTTTGTCTGCTCACCTTTAACAACTGCGTGGAAAAGAAGCCCTGATCGCTACTCGTATCACAGTGACACCATACGTCCTGATTTTATAGACTCGCAACACATGCTTTTCTGTGCGGCTGAAACCACTGCGTCAGATTCACCGTGTTATCCGATTGACAGAGACCGTGGAAGACGGGCGGCAGAAACGCAAATACATTGTTACAGATATAAGACATACAGCCATTACGTACAGCTCACTGTAACCAACACACATTTAATGATATGTATTCATCTTCTGGTATTGATGCAGAAGATAATCTACAGGAATTTTCAACCAGATTTGCATTTTATGAAAGCAACATTAATGCTTGCAAGGCTGCAAAAGAATACGTAAATATATTGAATCATATGCAATCCGCTTTAACAATGACAAGATCCTCAGCGTTTGTCATAAATGGTAAATATGTAAGGATGATTCACAATTCAAGTATGCAAACACTGCGATGATTTCACTGAATGCTGAAAATTTCATGTAAATCAATGGGTGATTTTAAAATGTATATTCAAAAAGTCTAAAATGAATAGATAGTCCATCTAAAAAGTCGATTTTAATTAAAATAGAGCATGTTAAAGGGTAAAATTATATTCTAAGTTTAAATAGAGTCAGAATCTAACCAGAATTGTAGAGTGATATCAATGCAGTGCTGCAAGTAAATGCTGTAAATGTGACAACAAACATGATCTCTCATGTGAGTTTTTAACTGAAATAAGCCTCCAGACCAGACTTGGTAAAGCCCTGCTTCCTCACAAGGCCTATCGGTCATTATTTCCATCATTGAGGTGTGCAGTGCGATCTGAAATTGGCTTTTTTTTTTATTTGTCACCTGTGAATCCAGTGTCTTGTTATTTGTTGCAATGCCCTTGTACTCCCTATTATATCTTTCCATCAGATTTGAGTGTATAGTCCACTACCCGTATATGCTCCAGTTGTTTTAGTTTTGTTTGTCTCTCAGAGAAGAGGACCTCGATGGCTCTGCATAACTGCATCAATTAGTGTGTCCAGGTTTTTAAGCTGCAGAGGGTCTCTGCACATACGGACTTCATTAAAACACAAGCAAGGATGATCACACATACGAAAACAACTTAAGCTTGGCAACAAGCAGGCTGCTCAGTATGATAGGCACAAAGCAATTGATAAGACTTTACTGTCATGGACACTGCTCCTCCATCCCGACAGAAACACTGGCAGATGTTCTCAGGTCAGGTCACAGCTTCAGAACGGGTCAATGCTTTACAGGCAATACATCTCAGATTTGTTGATCGTGTACATATACTCTTATTAAATTATTTGTAGCAATTTCTTGTACATATATATATACATATATATACATATACAGTATATATATATATATTCACACATGCTCACATATACTGTATATAAATACAATAATATATATATATATATATATATATATATATATATATATATTAGTGTTTTCTTGATATATATATATATATATTATTGTATTTATATACAGTATATGTGAGCATGCGTGAATAATATATATATATATACACAGACACGCGGGGACACACACAGACACACGCGCGCACACAAAAATAATATATAAATATAATAATATATATACACACACATATATGTAAATGAAAACTTTTATGTTAGATGCGAATAATTGCAGTATGCAGTATTGCTCATGTAGATAAAATGTTGTATATGTATTTTGTAATAAGTTATTCAATTTAAAAATAAAAACAATTATAAAACAAAATTATATATATATATGCATTTAAAAACACAAATAATAATAATAATAATAAGACAATATTATGATGATGATGATAATACATTACTAGATTTTTATATAATTATATTTTAAATATTATATGTAAAAATATGAAAAAATATCTAAAATAAAAATATATCTGTATTTATAATTATTATTGTTGTTATATATATATATATATATAAAATATATATATATATATATATATATATATATATATTTAAAATATTATTTTATAAAAACATTTTAGCAATATATTAATGTACGTAAGATTTTTTCTAGTGTGGGCAGTGAAAATATAATGACTATGCCAGCAAAAAAAAAAAAAAATCCTTATTGTTGAGCACGGTCACATGGGTTTTATGGCCTTATTTCAGTGACTTAATTTTTTGTTGTTTTTTTAAAACCACGAATAAACGTCATTTTCTCAAAACTACAAACTTTTAAATGCATGCTGCTCACATATTATCGCAGCAGAGTTTGTGCTGAATACAGTGTAATCAGACTTTAGCCATGAAAATGTTATAAGTAACAAAAATAAGCACAAATATCAGGGCATGTCAAAACACCTCCAGGGCCCGGAAAACCCCTCAGACCCCAGAGGGTTAATAACTGGAAAGGAAATGCATGAAGTCCAAACAGAGTGGACGGACATAGACCATCATCTCTTACCCGTAGGAGTGACTGAGACTCTTCCTTGGCGCTTTTGCCCTCAGTCGAGGTTGGGAACTGCTGTCCGGCTTTCTCTCCGCTCGCCGGCGTCCCCGGCAGAAAGGCTTTGGCATCAGCGCTGAGGCTGAAGATCAGTCCCGATGAGTCTCGAAGCTTCTGCTGGTCTTTAACCCCCGAGGTCACCGCGTTCAGAAGACCCAGTGTGGATTGAGGGAACGGGGCAGGGCTTCCCCTAAGGATCTCCCCAGCGCGCTCTTTAGGGACCCACACCAGACTCTGCACGTGTTGCTCTCCGCCCCGGACTCCTTCAAACCAGCCCTTCTCCTTCTCGTCCTGGGCCTCGCTCTTCACGGGCAGCGTCTCGGCTCGGCTGGGCTCTGGGGTCACCAGGCTATAGAGTTTCAGATCACCTTTGCTCTCCTCTTTGATGCGGAGGGTTGAAGGGGCCGAGCATCCGTTGGCAGGAGCAGAAGCTGGATCCGTGGGGTCCTGACAGTGGACCGAGTTAAAGTGATCCAGCAGAGCCGAGGTGTCCGTGGCAGTGAAACTACAGCGCCGACAACGACAGCAGCCGTGAACTCTCCTGCAAAGAGGACAAGAGATGGTCTCAGGGATCATTTTTATCATTCTTAAAAGATCAGGAAACCGTTGTTTCGCCTACTACCCCTAGAGAGCCATCTAACAGACGAATGCACGTCACGATTACGTGTATACTTTCTCCTAATCTGACGTCTCTGCCCTCCTGAGCTAGGTCTGAATCTCTGTAATGTTGTGTAATTACGGTTAAGTCAGCTATTTTCGTCTGCATAATGGCTCTTTGTTCTGTTCCAAATAAAGGAAACAAAGAGCTGCTCAAAACTCTCGCTAAACGAACAGACTGCAAACCTGTAGGTAAATGAATGTGACATTCCCTGCAGAAACACCAATGATTTTCTATAAGTGTGTACTTTCTGTTGGAAATCGACTACTGTCAAACTGACACCCCACCCAAAAAAACCCTTGTTTATTTTATATGCATCAGTAGATGTGCTTGGACAATGGCCATTCATTGATAAGTTTGGCTTCACATGCTAAGCGTACCGCAATGAAGTGTTTACATTGAATAAGAGGTTTCGAAAGCAAAAAAAGTCCTTAGTGTTGATAGTTCAAGGCAGGGCAAATCATGTTATTAATACCTTTTTTCAAGATCTCTAACATGCTCATCAAGTATCATAGATTCAAAGGCTGGCATTTATGATGTTGTATAAATGAAGACCCTTTATTTTTATATTTACAACAGTAACTCTAGTATCTAATCCAACAGAACTAAAAATGACTTTAGAGACAGGGTTGAAACTCTGTATTCTGTGCACCTAGGATAAATATTATTTATTTATTTATAAGTTTGGGGTCAGTAAGATTTTATTTTTTTAAGAAATTCATTTTTTTATTGAGCAAGTACACATTTAATTGACCAAAAGTGATGTTACAAAATATTTCAATTTCAAACAAATGCTGTTCTTTTGAACTTTCTATTCATCAAAGAACAACGTTTTCTGAAAGTTTCAACTGTGGCAATAATCATAGAGGTTTCTTGAGCATCAGATCATCATATTAGAGTGATTTCTGAAGGATCATGTGACACTGAAGACTGGAGTAATGATGCTGAAAATTCAGCTTTGATCACAGGAATAAATTACAGTGTAACATACATTAAAATAGAAAATATAGATATTTTAAATTGTAATAATATTTCACAATATTACTGTTTGTACTGTAATTTTGATCAAATAAACAGCCTTGGTGATCCAGATTACCGGTGTGTGTGTGTATAGAAATCCATCTAAATGCATTAAATGTGGCATCTTCGTGCTCTTTCTTCTCTCGCTGTTTATCCATCTTTCCGAAGCAAAAGCTGTGATGATGTTATCATAAATGCCCACTGGAGCCCTATCCATCAAACATAATCTCAGTGCAAGATTTTCCTTATATTATGAAAAAGTCCAATCAGTTGAAAAGCAAAAAAAAACAAAAAACAAATAGAATCTGAGATCAGTTACCCGGTAAACAGCCTCTCACAATCTGACTCGGTGCCTAACCGGGATGGATAAAGAGCAGGAGAAGACGAAAGAGAGCAAAACAGCTAGATGCCATCTCTGCCCATCTAGACAATAAACGAGGGACCGAGTGGAAAAGTGCTTTTCATCATTGCTGCTGCCTGACTTTCCCAGCATGCACTGCTGTAATTTGTCCCTCCTAGGTACAGGGAGGCAGGGGCAGATCAAACACTGGTGCATTTCAGCGACCGGTGAAGTGTGAGAAAGCGCACAATCCGTTGCATTTACCTTTGATTACACACAACACAATGTTTACACATCAGAAATACTTTTTTTTTAAGCATTAGGTACACATAAACAAGTATTACTTTGCAAAGTCTGAAAAACTTCTTTAGCTAGACCAAAATGTAAAAAAAAAAGCAACCTATGAATATTGTCTCTTTTTTCCATATTTTAGATAAAGGTAATTTAAAGAAAAACACTTGCACATGTAGAAATAAATGGACATCTGAAGACCATATAAACGTCATGAAGTTGTTTTATGAGGACCAGTTACCATAAGCGACAGACACATAGATACATTCAGTTATCATTAATCAGTACCAGACAAAACTAGCTACTTCAACGCCCCCCCAAGACTCGACTGTTCTCCAACAAAGCACGGGCTGCTTCCAAAACAAATCGTATTCTTTGGTCCCTGACACGGAGCATAAATATGTTTGTCAAACCCTGTAACCCAGAACTGATTGTTTTCTGGCATGAGTTCTGGAAACAGTGAAGTTTTTAAATTGAGTAGTTGACACGATTCTTTATCCTAACACGAACTTAATCATACATGTTTATATCCTACACTGACATTCCAGTTATTTGCTAAAATGTTTAAAAAAAATGTGCAGTAAATGCTTTAATGACAAATCATAAGTAGATCAGTACAACATTTTATATCTTTTAGATTTAGTACAACATTTTATATTATAAATACAAAATATGTGACAGTAAAGAATTTTACATTGGTTCGAAAAAAATCTATTTCAAATAAATGCTGTTTTTCTTTTATTTTCTAATCATTAAAGAATCCCTCAAAAAGTATCAAGGTTTCCGCAAAAATATTGAGCAGCACAACTGTTTTCAACATTGATAACAATATGAATATGTTATTTGCTTCTTCCAAAATCATCATATTAGAGTGATTTCTGAAGGATCATGTGACACTGAAGACTGGAGTAATGATGCTGAAAATTAAACTTGTAATTACATTTTAAAATGCATTAAAAATAGAACACAGCTATGTGAATTTGTTATAATATTTATTTTGCTTGATGATTAAACTAAAATGCTTCTGCTTAGTATTAATATTAAGGAGTAGACATTTAAGTTCTAATTAAAACAGTTATATTAAAACGGTTATTATATGCATGTATGTATATACGGTACCCTGATATATATATTTATATATATATATATATATATATATATATATATATATATATATACACCTGACTTCTCTGAACATCTGTTAATGTCAATCACAAGCACAGTGCATTACTACAGTAATTATGACTATTTCCTCTAATAAGTTTTAATTAAAATGCTGATAGCTTGTCACATTTTCTGTGATGTTAAGAAAACACGTCAAGGCCATTAATAAAGTAAATAGTTAATTCCAGCTGCATCTGCTTGATAATGAGGTGCATGTAGCATTACTGAAAAAGCTCATATTAGATGAGCACATGTTCAAGCAGACATTCAAGAGCTGTCAACGCCACCAAAAAACAAGAAGAAAAGTCTTTCAATATTTAAAGATGCACAACACAGTGGATCGTTCAAAAAGCCAACCATCTGAGGAATCATCAGTTGTTATAATAATAAATAAATAAAAACATAACACAACATCAACGTCGGACTGGCTTTTCGGAGAATAGACCTCCAGTAGAGATGGCTTTTTCTCCCTCAGTTCCCAACTCTAATAAGCAGGCAGTAAAAGAGATAGTTTCATGTCATTCGACTGGGTCAAAAGAAAGATTTAGAAACGGGATGTAGAGAGTTTGTCTTTTGTACACTCTCAGACTGAAGCAGAGCAGTAAACACTGTATAAGGGGGCAGAATTAATCTGCCGAACCAACAAGAATCATGTAACCATTCAAAATTGTACAAGCATAAGTGATTAAGATTATGTACCGAACCAGATTTAATGCTACCTCCCCTCCTACACTATAATTTCCTCAATGCTTTCAATTTAATTGCAATCACAGGTTATAGATGCAATTTTCCAGCTTTTTTTTCCCCTTTTCATTTTGCAAAGCATCAAAACAGCATCATCGATTTAGGGGGGAAATACTTGAAAACATGAAAAAACGAATGAGCACCAATACCGATGTCGATAACGGCACTGAGTGGCAGTAATTTGCGCTTGTGAACATGAAGGCCTTTAGCTATGCACCAGCACACCGGCTCAATATCCATGACATTACAGTGGAGAGGGGAGAATGGGACAAGCGCAGGGTCGTTCCCCTGACCGGGTGACAGAAAAACTAGACAGAGAAGAATCTCAGTAGGGGGTGAAAGTGCGAGTCCGACACTCATTCGGTCTCCAGAAGGAAGCAAGGAGTCCTCATTAACAGAATCGGTAGGAGACCGAAAGGTTTCAGTCGTGGGCCTTAGGCAACAAGATGCCTTACAATGACATAAGAGACTGGCATCCATAAAACACCCTGCAATAAACGGGATAAAGACTTGAAAACTTCAAAGAATTATCGCTCCGTAGAAACAAAACAAAGGCTCTTACACACCGGTGTTTACTTTATGCTACAAAGCCATTGATTTCAATGGGAATTATTCATGCATTCATGCTTGATTTCAAAATCTCTTTCCATCCTCAAATTGGATCTTAGATAATATAGTAAAACATTCCTAGAAGCTGGTGGATTTATTTCAGGATTTACTCATGTTACAATGTTTAATGATGTCTGAGGTAAAGGAAAATCAAAACATTTGATATTGTATTTGCCTTCCCTTATTTTTCAAAGTAGAAAAAAATTCCCAGTGCTGCAGTGTGGCAATAAATGACAATAAACCCCCAATTTGTACACCCGAAGGTAATCATCAACAAGCTCTTATATGCCATTTGAGGTCAAATATGTACGAAAATGTCCTAATTAACAACAAGAAAGTTAGATAAGTGATTGACAAATTGACAAATGAAAATATTCTGGCAAAAAATTAGGTTTCGGCCAAAATAGTTTTGGATGGTCGAAATCATTAACCGAAAAATAACTTTTAATTAGCACTTCATCAATGACGCATTTTGACTGTTTTAAAGGGTTAGTTCAGTCAAAAATGAAAACTGTCAGTAATTACTCTCCCTCATGTTGTTCAACCCCGTAAGACTTTCGTTCATCTTCGCAACACAAATTAAGATATTTTTGATTAAATCTAAGTGCTGGATCACTCCTCCATAGGCTTCTATGTTATTTCATTCTGCCGGCCCAGAAAGTTAGTAAAGACATTGTTAAAATAGTCCAAGTGACTACAGTGGCTCAACCTTAAGTGTATCAAGCGACGAGAATACTTTCTGTGCGCAAAAACCCCCAAAATAACGACTTTATTCAACTATTAATCTTCTTCCGTGTGGGCCTCGAGTGAGTTCACGAGAGCCACGACGCATGCGCGAGAACTGAGAAGATAAAAATGAAACCAAATTAGCAATATGTAAATTTAGTTTAGTTTACTACGACTGCTTTACAATTGAGAACAGGACACCCTGAACAGCATACCAAGTTCAACTACTGGGGCGGCAGTGGCTCAGTGGTTCATGTAGGTTGTCTACAAACCGGAAGGTTGGTGGTTCAATCAATACACCGCCGTCGGTGTATGAGTGAGTGAGTGAATGGGTGAATGTGAGGCAAATGTAAAGTGCTTTGGTGGCCATTGGGTCTGTGAAAGTGCTATATAAATGCAGTCCATTTACTGAAATTGTATTTTTGGTTCAGTGTTTTTGGCTAAATTAAAACTTGAAATTCATTTCAGCGCATCACTACAGTAGCCGTCCAATCTTGCAGAGGTGAAGAATGTAATTTTGTCATCTGAGCTGTCCGACCGTGACTCAGCCAATGGCGTGAGTTTGGGGGCGGGACTCTCTGCTGATCCGACCAATGGAGGATGAGTGTTTGAAATGCAAAGATGTGCAGATATTACACACTCCCCTCTTTCTGAGTGAATCCCACAATGAGCTAAAGTCCGAAACCAGCATGTCCAAAATCCAATGCAGTATATTCTCAGCTCCTGCACGTAAAAGGTCTCCCTTTCCCGAATTGGAGGGCAGCGTGATATATTGAGTGCGCACTGGATCGGGTGGGCACGAGGTGTGGGAGGCTACGGCATCAATATCAGGTTCACGTTCGTGGTGGGTGGGTTGCTGATTCGAGACTAGAGGGAAGGATTCTGCTCATAAATCTACACTATAGCGAGGTGTTCAGGAGAGACACATACGCACACTGGAAATATTATGTATCATTGATTCGACAGACCACACAATCCCTCACACGCACACACAAGAGAGGTCAACGAATCCTTCCACGCAAAGAAACCGGACACCATGGCACAGATGTTCATACAATAACATGGAAGACACAACCCTGCAAACATGCATGCAGTAGCCTATAAACTATCGCCAAGTGTACACAACATTCTCATGCTCCCAGTAAGCCTGCATGGGGAAAAGTAGTTTAAAACAAAATATGACATGCAGATTCTCACTTGCACACACATACACACACTCGGTACGGTCTGAGCTGAGAAGCAGGAGCTCTCCAGGGAGGCCATACAGGTCTGATTTCTGCTCTCTCCTCGCTGGTTCCAGGCTGTGGGCTCTGAATACAAACAGCGCCTTATTCAGAAAGGCCGCACGCACAGGCTGAAAACACTCGGCTCCACGTCCACCTGAAACAACCAGCCCTGGGCATCTGGATCATGATGGACGTCACTCAAGGCTTAAGCACACACAACCCTTCACACAGGGGACAGGTGGGTGTATGAGGCCTTTAAATTCACAGTTTCCTGACACGAGCGCCAACTTGACAAATGATTCCTTCGCCAGGATCTTGGACAAGTCAGATTAGACCGTTGATCATTTAACAACACTTAAACTCGTGGAATTACTGAAAAAGTTCAAATAGTAGGAAAAATGTGTCTGCCATGCAGCTACAGTATGTGGAACTTCTTTGTCTTATCTTATGCACGGGTTGGAAATCGATTCTTATTAAAAAAATATTGTAAAATATTGAGACTTATGACATTTGATTCCAATGAACTGTTCTGGAATGTCAGTTGTGGATGAAACACATTATAAAATATGCAATACACACATTAGAGCCACTTTAAACTCGCCATTGTCGTGACAATTGCCTTGTATTTTTTGTCAGCCTGCACAAGAACCAATAATCAACTTGAGCGTGCAATTCATTGTTTCCTGTGATTTAATATATGCATACATCTGCAATATAAAGACTTGTATTTTTGTGTGTATCTCACTAACCAAGTAAATGCAAGGTTGGTTAAGAAGAAATAAAGAAATCTGCAATCATCTGATCATTTGACAAAAGTTTGCTCACCTCACAGTACTGAATTAATCACTGTTCACCAAAAACAGATTTATTAAATGGATTTTAGTATGACATCAATTTAGCATTTAGAATAGTCATAATGTTATGAAAATATGTAGGAAATTGCTTAACTGATTCTATTGTTCCCATTTGTAAGACACTTTGGATAAAAGCATCTGTTAAATGATTAAATGTTAAATAGATTAAACATTTCAAGAATTTGTCAGTGAATTTCATAAGAAAGAATTAACCACATAATACAATGAAATAAAGTATATGGCCGTTTTGCATTAAAGTTTTGCTATTGGGTTCGTTTTCCCGTGTAAACATCAGTAGTGAAATCGCTCAGAAGAAGTTCTTGCACGTAATATAGCACAGTATACTATAATATCAAACACATGTGGCATTGAGGTGGTTTGGTGTATTTACACAACATTTATATTAGATTTAGCAAAGTGCCTTTCTGTTCTCTTTCTACTGTGCCAAACTCAAGCGGACATATGGATTTCAGCGGTGCAGTAAACTCATTTTTATCAGTAAATTCAAACCGGCACATGTAGACATGCCTGTAAACTCTGGCAGAAAATGGAGAGTAATTGAGATCTTATGTGAAGGTAAAGCAGAGCCACGCTCATCCGCGCCGTACGTACCACACAGATGGTGAAAGAAAGAATATAGAAAGCTATAATAGATTCCCACATGTACACGCTTAATGGACATATGCACGCACACACACACACATGAAAACAAGCACTGAAGTGCACTCACATTTACATGCACACCTGGCCTCAAGACAAGCTAAATCAGAACCAATGAGGGACCGCTGTAAGATAAGTTATTCCTGACGTTTAGCATTTTCAGTTTATTCAGCTGTGTTGCTCGACTTCAAGTAAAAAAGTGCAAAAAGAAAAAAAGAAAACCTGTTACCTATCAGTACGAAAGCAAAACCTCCAACACAGAAACAAATGTGTAACACAAGCTCGCTGGATTTAATCAACAGCTGCTTTCACTGTCCAATGCTATTGTGCTACAATAAGATTTTTAATATCATTAAAAAATATTTAATAAATGTATATATAAAAAGTAATATACAATATAATATTGCAGAAATGAAAATAATGAATTAAAACATATCAAATTATGAAATAAGTATTTTAAAAGATCCAATATTACGTTTAATAATGTATCATATTTATATATTTAACAAACTGAGGTAATGTGATGCATTCCAATGCTAAACAATACGTTTGTGAAGATAATATTTAATGGTATTTGCCAGCACAAAACTCAACGCCGCTAGCTTAAGTCATATTAGCAAAATTTTGTGTTAAAAAAAAGGTCCGTTGTCTATTGTCAATAGTGTAACTCACACAGCAGTCACTTTCAAAATAAGTTGTATGTTGGTAAATGCAACGAAACTAGCTTGAACCTGTTGCGGAGTCTGCATGGGAAAACATTTCGCCTTAATGTACAATTCCAGTTACACTGTGTAATTATACATTAAAGTACTGAGTAATAATAAACTACATGTACTTACTATAGGGTTAGGTTCAGGATTGGAGTTGGTTTAGGGTTAATTGCATGTAATTATGCATTATTTGCAGTTAGTAACTACATAAATTAAACTGTAAAATAAAGTGTTACCCAAATTCCTGTTCGTGTGGACTCCTATTGAAGTGGCTGGATTTTGCCATTGAAAATTGACTGATCAATGGGTGGTCGCAAAGAAATTGAAATGCAGTTACTAGACGGTAACTTACAGACCCAATCCTATGAGCCCAGCCTCAAGACCACTCGATGTGGTTCGGGTCACTCCATGTTTATAGCACAAATAGAATCTTTTGTAACATTATAAATGTCTTTACTGTAACTTTTCATCAATTGAATTCATCCTTGATGAATAAAAGTATTGATTTATTTTATTTATTTCCCCCAAAAAATAATATAAAGATTCTTACTGACCCCAAACTTTTGAATGGTAGTGTTTAATGTTACAAAAGCTTTCTATTTCAGATAAATGCTGTTCTTTCGAACTTTCTATTCATTAAAAAATCCTGAAATAAAAATGTAAATAACTGTTTTCAACATTGACAATAATGAGAAATGTTTCTTGAGCAGCAAATCATCATATTAGAGTGATTTCTGAAGGATCATGTGACACTGAAGACTGGAGTAATGATGCAGAAAATTCAGCTTTGATCACAGGAATAAATTACACTTTACTATATATTCATATTGAAAACAGCTGTTTAAATTTGTAATAATATTTCACAATATTACTGGGTTTTTTTTTTTTTTTTGGGGGGGGGGGGGCTTATCAAATAAATGCAGCTTTGGTGAGCAAAATCTTACCAATCCAAAACTTTTGACTGGTAGTGTATATACAGATGAAACTCGAAAAATTAGAATATCGTGCAAAAGTTAATTTATGTCAGAAATTCAACTTAAAAGGTGAAACTAATATATTATATAGACTCATTACATGCAAAGTGAGATATTTCAAGCCTTTATTTGTTATAACTTTGATGATTATGACATACAGCTGTGAAAACCTTTTCACTATATTCTAATTTTTAATTTGGGGTTTTCATAAGATAAGCCATAATCATCAAAAGTATAACAAATAAAGGCTTGAAATACTTTGCATGTAATGAGTCTATATAATATATTAGTTTCACCTTTTAAGTTGAATCACTGAAATAAATGAACTTTTGCACCATATTCTAATTTTTCGAGTTTCACCTGTACATATAAAAAAAGATGGATCTGTTATGCAATGTTACCTGTAGTGACGAAAGATCTCCTCCTCCACTTCAGTGAGGAAATGGCACTTAGTGCAGGCGTATTCTCCGGGATGATCCCGCCCTGGTCCCGCTCCTCCATCCCCCGATCCCTCCTCCTCTGGCTTGACTTCCAGTAAGGTGTGAGAGGTGTGTGCGCTGTCATAGTGCAAGAGAAGCAAGTCAATATCAGTGGAGGTGAAAGGGCACTGGTCACACAGGTGTGTGACGGACCCTCGGGGAGCTGGCGGGGACGGGGATGGGGTCGTTCCTCCAGATGTCAGTTGCAGAAGAAGAAGAGCACAGTGTGAACAGGAGCTCTTTCGGCAAGCGAAGGGGTACGAGATCTCGCCCAGGTGCTTCTCGGGGGTGCAGAGCCCACGCGGGCAGAACGGGCAGTGTTTAATGGTGCACTTGTGAATGCTGTGAACCCGCTGGTAGTGATGCAAAAGCGGAGCGACGACGATGACCTCCGGTCCGTGTGTCATTGAGTAACGGAAGTCGCAGAACTGGCAATTATAACTGGTTACTACAGTTTCAGGGTCGCCTGTTGCTCCAGTCTTCTCTTTTTTCCGTAAATGTGAGTTTCCGTCACGTGTGTTTCTGTCCCTCTCCACTGGACTTCCCTCCCTGACAGCCGCCTGACCGTGTCTTTTCTCATAGTGCTCTAGAAGCCTAGAGGCGCTGGCGGATTCGCAACTAAAGCTGCAATACTTGCACCAGTAATACGCTGCGGGAGCGTCACCTTCAGTGAGGCTAGGAGAGTCTGATGCACGGATCGGGACAGAGTATCCAGCAACAGAGTCATCTTCGGCCCTTACCGCCACTCGATCCGCCCACTTTCCTTGCTCATCCGTCCCAATCCGCGGCACGCAGTTCCCCTTCCGCTCAGTCGAGGACTTGTCGTCGAGGTTGGGGTTGAATGGAGGTGGACTCTTCATCTTGTTGGGGTGCGTTGCAAGGAAATGCTGCTCGAGGTCTACAGAGGAGCTTCCCATGTAGGTGAAGTTGCAGAACTTACAGCGGAAGTACTTGGTGTTGCCCTGACAATCTTGCGTCTTCCTCCCAATTCCGATAAAGGTGCCGGCTAACGTTACCTGTGAGAGCAGGGAGGTTGTGAGGGGGGGGGGTGACAAAGAAAGAAAATGAGATAAAGGGAAAGAACAATCATCCGTGAGTTACAGAGAATTACAGAGAAATAGAAGTCTGATATAATAAGACAGACAACAGACTTTCAATAACCCTCCCAATCTCCAAGACGAGGCAGCGGTTATCACCACACAAAGGCAAATCACATTTTATGTTCTTATTACTTCACAGCGCTGAGAATTCGCTGAAAATCCTCCAGCGAGCAGATGGGGAACAAGTGAAACCTGTAGAAGAGTGGAAGAGTAAAGCACCCATGCATGCAGAGACGAAATTGATCTTTTCTGATTAATAATATCCAGGTGTGACTTTAGTTCTGATACTTTACGAAATGAAATCTCCTAAATCAGTTTAATTGCACGCATATTAAAAAAAACAGACATGCAGATCAACGGCTTAAGAAGATGCAATAAAAGTCCAGCCTATAGGCATGCATATGGAATATATAGCTGGCAGTCACAGTCAGAAGAGAGTATGAGTGGGAGGTCTTGAGCTTCATACGCACTGTGGGGAATTCAACGTCATGCTCCAGACAAAACACTCAAGGAATGTCACAGCGCAGACAGACCCTTTCCCCTGAGCAGCCCCTGAGCTGTATGTTCAAGCAATGATTAAATAAACACCCACTGCGAAGCGTAATGTGTGCTTGACTGTAATTCTACACATGCATATTACAGATACAAAGTGGACCAATTTAAAGTCTCAGCTGGTTTGCTCTGTATCACCTGTCTGAGCAATTGAGCAACTGAATTTACAACTTTGCCTGCTAAATGAGTAAATGTAAACGTAAGCAGACTGCACTTGTGAATATTTTCTCAAAATATATTTTTTACATTATGGGTTGGAAAAAACCTATAAAATATCCTGCGTAACAATAAATGATCAGCTCAGAAAAAAAAGGCAGCTCAGAAAAAGAAATATGATACACATCAAACTAAATGCAATTATTATTTATTGTTAATGAGAATAATAAAATGAAAAAAAAAAAAAAAAACTGGTATTTAAAATACCTAAAAAACTAGGTATTTTGTCCAAAATGTATATTTATACACACTGGAGTTTTGCGATTTTATAATATTAAATAAATAAACATTTAATATAAACATTAAATATATATATATATAAAGAGTATATTTTTAAAATATTATTATTATTACTAAACTATTTCATTCATCAATGAGTTAGCAACATCATTACATCTGGCTGGTGAACTGGGCAAAATCCGCCCTGCACCGACTCAAGCTAAACGCATCCAAACTTGGCTCCTTCCGCAGAAACCCAACTTAAATATGCCGCTTAAATTGTAAACATGACATTGTTGAAGTGAAGAGTGAAACCGTGCTGAAAGTTGGGCAGATAAATGACTATGACATCTGTTCATTACCCATCGTTTAAAATAAATCGACTGCTGTGTTTTCACTGGCTCCCCTCACCAGCTTCCCTACGCTCTTTTTCCCCCCTTTTTTCATTGGGAAAATGAGAAATCGCAGTCGTCGATATTACTGCATGGAAAATTCCACTAGGAACGAATTCTGAATAGACTCATTATTCAAACTTTTTTCCTAAGAATTTAAACGGTATTACGACAATTTGTAGACAGGCTGATGTTGAATTGAAAAAGATCGTGGCCGGTGTTATTAGAAGAGAAAAAAACCTCAGGTACTCTAAGCTGCGCTGTGTGCTTGCTTGATTGAGTACATGCACATGTGCAAAGCAGGCAACTGTTCATAATGGTCCATTTAAACATGATACAGTGAGACTGGTGCCACGATAAATCAGCCAAAAGTCACAGAACAAAGCCAAATACAGTGTGCCAGCATGATCCACACTAATCTCCTTCACATTTTTTGTTTGTTTGTTTTTATAAATCCTAAATCACCAAGGTGATATGACAAATGACGCTTGTATTTCAATTTCAATGGAGCTGCTCGATTGCCTATTCATGGCGTTATTTTAAAACACACGCATGAACGAATGCACTAGGGCTAGACGAAATTTCAGAATTAATTCAGCCCGTGTTCATCAGTGTGTGAGTTTCTGCGTGTGCATGACTTTGCATGCATCATATACGGTTACCATGCATCTAGTGGTTTTATTCTGTGACATAAATTCTAAGTTTCACTGTTGCATGTGCATGCATCATTTTTAAGCATTAATGACCCATGGGTCTGTGCTCCAGAACATAAGGAGGCGCCTTGCTTTCTACATAGGCAGCTGCCGTACAAGACAGCATCTTGACTGAAATGGGCTCTACATGAGCGCCAACTCCTGCGACGCAAACTCGGAATCAACATGCACCAATGCTACATTTTTCTAAATGTCATAATCCTTTGTTAACAAACACGTATTCGTTACTTCAATAAGCTCATTGTTTCTGCCTTAAATGATTACATTGTTTAAATTAATACATTTTTTGCTAACTGTGAAATTGTATATGTACATTTCTGAAATGCATAAACAGTTATCTCTGATAACGGATCACTCTAAATTGTAATGTGGACTGTTTTCTGTAAAGCTGCTTTGAAACGATGTGTATTGTGAAAAGCGCTTATACAAATAAATGTGAATTGAATTGAATAAGGAGAGGCAGACGGGAGACTTGATTTGATTTCAATACAGATGACGAGAGGAATAACGGAAAACTCCAAAATGCATAAATATACATAGCACATATGCACTACCATTTGTATTGTTAAAGTGTATTTAGAAACATTTCATCCCTTGGAGATTACCTGCACGTCGTAGGTGCCGTTGAGTACGGAGGACCTGGGCGACCCTGCTTCTGCCACGGATCCGCTCTGAGCCGATTGGCCGAGGAGGCGCGCTGAGTCTTTGGCCTGTGACTGGGCTGTGAACTGCACCATGTTGTGTAGTGCCAAAATCTTATTGTCCAGCTCTGCGTCTTGCCGCGTCCGGTTGTGCAGGCCCAAATGGTACTTACGAAAGTGCTTGATCAGGTCCGTGGGGTCATTGCCGTAGTAGCCGTACCCACAAATGTTGCACTTAAAGTCTTGTAGTTTGGGTGAGGTGGGTGGAGGTGCTCCTGTCTCAGCTCCCAGAGGACTAGGGGCGTCTTCGGCTCCCCCGATCGGCTTCAGTGGATGAAGAGTGACAGGAGGGACTTTAACTTCGACTGGAGCACCACAAGGGCTGACAGAGCCCAGGAAAACGAGTGGGCTGTGTGTGTCCTCTCCGTTACTGACGATGACGCCGCCCGACCGTGTGTTTGGCCTGAGATCGATACGCTCGTCCTCCCCGTCCACTCTCTCTCCCGGGTCAGAGGTTGTTGGAGAGTTGGCGGAGTCCAGCGGTTCGCTATCAGTGCCCTCGCGGCTGGAGTAGGACGCTGCCAGGTTGTGGCCGGAGTAATGTACGTCAGGTCTGTCTGGTTTGATGGGGCCAGGAGAGGACGGCTCCTCCTGCTCTTCGGGCTCTGAGGCCTGGCTCCCCGTGTTCCCGCTCTCTGGGCCCGTGGCCTCGGCCGCCACCGCCTCGCCTTCCTCTTCTTCACTGCCGAAGCTTCTCAAAGGGGGATTCTTTTTCCGCACCATATCTGCAACTCAGCGAAAGAGAAGACCAACGTTAATAACTAGACGCATTGTGATACGATTCCAGCAACAAGCAATTTGTCTGTCCACACCAGGCTACAACTACGCCTACAAGATGTGACAAAATCAATCACAAATCACAGTCAACCAGAAGGGAACTGGGCGTGTGACCAGAGTCTCTACATAATAAAATTCATAAATATTACCAGGGCTTGACATTAACTTTTTCTGCTCAGCAGCCACTGTGGCTAGTGGTTTTCCAAAGTTACTAACCAGTCTGTATTTCACTGGCCACAACTTTGACATCGATACCATGGGGAAAAACATCATATAGGCTGCTGTCACTTTAAGGGTGCTTTCACACCTGGATCGATTTGTTTTGTTCCGGAACAGATCCGAAACAGAATACTTTGTTCCGAATCAATTTAATACGTCACTCTGTTCACACCACACTGTTGTAAAGCGGTCCAAATCGCGCGCCCTTCCAGGGCTTTCCTTACGCCATTACGTCACTACCTCATGCGTGCAGGTCGTGCATTCCATTGTGGGACATCACCATGACAACAGTAGCCTAACACAAAATGAATCGCGGGTTGACTTGGTGCTACCGAAGAGGTGAAATGCCTCATATAGATATTTGGTCGGAAGAACATATCTCCTGGATGTTGGACACTACACACAAGAACACCGAAGTGTACAAGAAGATCAGCTATAAAATGAAAGAGAGGGGTTATGAACGGTCCGTCGAGCAGTGCCGCGCAAAGGCGAAAAAAGCTCCGACAGCAGTAACGTTACATAAAGGTACAAGACCACCTTGCCTATTGATTTGTTCCGGTTCGTGGGTCGGTTGTGTTCTCACTACAAACGAACCGCTCCAGGGTTCGTATGGAATCGAGCCGAGACGAGTGCGATTGTTATGTTCACATATGACCAAACGAACCGGGCCAAAAGGGAAACGCCCCTTTGTTTCGGAACAACGTCTCCAATCGATCCAGGTGTGAAAGCACCCTAAGACCTGACGCACGGATCTATTGTACTGTTACACATCCGTTTACACATTCACTTAACACAAAACTGACGTGAATTCTTGCCAAGACCGGCTTTTTGTCATTATTTTGTGTATTTCACTGTTGTTTAAGCACAATATACAGTTTAAGCAATGACAAAGAACTTAATTTAGTACAAGGAGGCTTTATGTGCGCACAAAATCTGAGGGAATGAGTACAAGTATGCTCAATAAGTGCAATCCCACTCTGAAATTCAAGCCCTGTAACAGCAAAAAATATTCATGCAATATTCAGAACGTCCTTGTTTCCTTCAAAATCTGAGGTGAATTATCCTCTGTCGCTTTTAATACAGCTATAAAGGTATTCAAACTCACATTCAATTCTTTTAACATTAAATAAAGCTCATAATCAGTACCTGAGATTATCATCGTCATACTTTGTCGTTCCAGCCTTGGCGTCGGGGAAATAGAAACCATTTCTAAAACGAATCATTACGTATCGCCGTCGTGGCTGGTTAGGACAAAAACTCTGATTAACATGGAAAAGATTTCGCGGCGTCACGTCTGGTTAGGACACAGCGTTACTCAAGTAACGCACTCAATGTGTGGTTCTGTTTGCTTGCATGCTAAATACAACTTCGGAGCCAATGCACCTATTCTGCTCTCTGTAAAAGCTTTTTGATTGTTCTTTGATTTTCGAAAATCTGAGACAAAATGCCCTAGAAATGGTTCTCCTCTTCCAGCACAATCCATAAACAGCAAATGAGGTTCTAATATCAGTGACTATGTCGGTGCCGGCCTTTGTTGATGATATTTTAATGAATAAAATCTGTGCACTTATGTCACTGATGTGGCTTAGGGACACGCATTTGAATCAGTTACCAAAATCAAAGATGATAGGGAGAGAGAGAAAAAAAAAAGTGGAATTTATAAAGTGATTCATAGCAAAAAATTTCCATCAGAACTCAATGAGGTCATGCGTGTTTGTTCATAGCAGGCAAATTGCACTATTAACTAGACTTTCCTTTGGCACAAACTGCACAAAAGTGAATTTCTGTGAAAAGTTTAGCATAAGGCAACATAATTTTGCATTTGCGAGATGGTGTGCGTGTTGGCCACTTTCAATTTAGGGCAATTACAGTTTCTCATGATTTAACAAAACAGGGGCCTGTCTTATTTCGACAGACCGTCGAGAGCAATTTCCTCATTTAGCCAGTGATGCAAATGGATATTAAATAAAGCAATTCATGCTTCGCAGAGGGGCCACACCTTAACCACAGCTAAGTTAATAAAAGTCTTGAGAAAATCTAATCACAAATATAACCACACCCTGTCAAATCACTCACAGCATCTCCTTCTCTGTGAATCTGAGGCTTCACAGCATCTAAACACACTACAGCCGCAGTGCTACCCGTTCAAAATTGAAATGGATTAGAAACACACCGGTCTGTGTCATATTACTACCGCTGAAAAGAGATCGCATTTGAAGAAGATATTCATTCAAATATCGAGCGAGACTGATGGCAGCACAGATGTAACTAATGGCTGGTGTCGTCTTTTGAAAGCTTACATTCTTAAACTGTCATGAAACATCCAAAACTGCACATCGTTATTGTATCATATCAAGAAACGCAATCAAAGACATAACACTACATGCAGGCCACAGCATGATCTGAAACGTGTTGATGAGGACGACAAATAAACTAAATGGTAATTAGTAATTACCGCTCCACACAGCAAGATTGCTCATTTGTTGGTTTTGTACACTAGTTTGTATGCCTTGCAAACAGGACAGGTCCCAACATCATGGAAAACCTAGAAATATATATGTATAGTCCAGTAAAAGTCAAAAGCATACATGGAATAAATAAATCTAAATAGTTTGATTTTAGTATGTTTTTAGCATTTGAGCAGACAGCACCACACACTGAAAAAATAAATACATTTATAACTATTTATAGTATATATATATATATATATATATATATACATACACACACACAGTATATACTATAATATATTACAATTTTTGTAATCACTGCTTAAATTAGATACATTTCCATATTTTACATTTTAATAATTATATGATTGGGAGCAATTAGTGGATTTCATTTTTGCCTAAGAAACTCTAACAAGACTATATGTATAGTCCAGTAAAAGTCAAAAGCATACATGGAATACATAAATCTAAATAGTTTGATTTTAGTATGTTTTTATCATTTGAGCAGACAGCACCACACACTGAAAAAATAAATACATTTATAATTATATATAGTATACATATATATATATATATATATATATATATATATATATATATATATATATATATATACAGTATATACTATAATATATTACATTATTGTAATCAGTGCATAAATTAGATACATTTCCATATTTTACATTTTATTTATTATATGATTAGGAGCAATTATTGTTAGAGCAAGAAACTCTAACAAGACTATAAAAAATCATTTAAAGAAGTTCTCGCAACAAGTGTTTTTGTTTGGGTAGACTTTAACTTTTTTCTGATTAGTAATATTTGTTTTGAAACCCTTAATGATCTCATTATTTAACCGATGAGGGAAGCAAATTAAATATAAAAATACTTTTCTTTATTCCCAAATATTCTTCCTTACATACAAGTACTAAAATATTCATTGACAGAACCAGAATCATTAAGACGAATCAGAACCACAATCATAAAACCTTTCGATTCCCAAGCCTCGTGAATATACATGTTTTTAGTTATGCTGCGACCCACAAGCCATTATTATGATAACTGAGCATTTGGGAGCAAAATCTTATTTTGAGGGGATTTTCAATAAATCAGTCGAATCAGTTTAAATCTAAACGATGTGATCCCTGCTTCTGTTTAATAAACTGTGGATCAAGTTAACTTAATTTTAAATTTGTACAACATATTAAGCTACTATTTGAGAGAGCCATTGATTTACTGAACTAGACGCACTTTCTCATTTTCCTTTCTGAGAATAAAGGTACAGCCTTGCTATCAGGATCCAATACTAAGACGCATCTTAACCAACGTAGAAGGGGGAAAAAGGAATGGAGTGGGAGGACGAGAAAAGTTTTTAATACCTGATATGGTGCACAATTGCATTAAAACTTGCAGGGGAAGCAGTGAGACATTACCATTCCAGGCCGCCATCAGAAACCGAATAATCTGCTTTTATAGATCCCAGGCGTTTGCTGCGTTCCTGTACCAGTCGATTCAAATCTCTACTTCACTATTATCCACCCCCACCTCCTCCTTTCCTTTCCTTTATTAAACTCCTCTTCTGTTATTGTGCCTACTCAAGAACTTACTTAATAAAGTATAATATGCTCCTTGAAAAGGACAGAACAATCTATTGTCTTAATTAAAAAAGTAAGGGGGGTGAGCGGCTCTTGTCTGAATACAGGAATGTCCCTCGAGTGATCAGACACTAATGTTATCTAATGACAGGAGTCAAAGCTCAATTATAAGTGAGTATTACTACAATCAGACAGCGTACGAGAGTGTTAACTGAGTGATACATAGTGAAGAAGAATATTCCAGGGGGTCTTGGAGAAGAGAATTAACACAATGCTGTCATCAGCCACATGATTTAAAGCTACTATATTATGTTTTGACAGTTGTTTTTTTAATCAGAGAAAACTACCTGTCGACAGGCACTTCATCACTGTCATTGTGACATGGTGATGGAAAAGCTTTGTGTGCTTTAATCACACACATACGCACAAAAAAAAAAGCATTGTACGCACAAACAAAACTGACAATGCAGCGACGCAACATTCCTGTGGAGAAAAGCGCTCGATGACAAGAGGAACGCATCAGGATCGTTCAATTAACAGATTTAACACGCCAGCTGATGCAAATGCTGCATGCTGAACAACACAATGAGTCATTTTTGCATGTATTGTGTGTGAAAAGCTCTAAATAAAATAAAAAATAAGTTTTCAAAACATGTTAAAATCACACACAGACCCAGGCGTAAC